TCTAAAACACATGAAGGAATCAAATACCAAATACAGCTAAAACCAAACCAAGAATTGGCACACTCACTTCAAACTAATGGGATATTCCACTAAAGATTTTAAATATCTACATTTAAGATACTCAAAGTGATAAATGGAGGAATAACTTTTATTTTTTAAATGGGAAGGAATTATTTTTTTATTGAAGTATACTTGATTTACAATATTGTGTTAGTTTCAGGTGTATGGAATTATTTTTTTAAAGAAGAAAAATATGGCTAGGTATGAAAAAGAACAAATTCTATATATTTAAATAAAAGTCATCGTTATTGAAATGAAAAATAATTCTATATTAAACAAAGTAGAAGAGAGAACTAGTAAATTGGAAAGATAATTCAAGAAATTAAGAATGAAGGACAGAGAACAAGGAGAGAAAAATATAAAATAGAAACTCAAAATGACATGGTAAAAATAAGTCCAAATGTATTAGCTGATCGAAATACCATGAATGGCTCAAACTCCTCTATTAAAGGACAGACTATAGGTTGAATTTTTTTAAATATAGCTATAAGTTTCTGGCAAGAGATACGATAAAGTTATGAGGAAAGCTATGTTATGTCAATATTAATCATGAGAAAACTAGTGCAGCAATATTAATATCTGATGGCATATAATTTAAGATGAATATTAATAAGAATATCATGTATAATAATAAAGGACAAATTCACTAAGAAGTGGTAACAATGAGCTTATTTGCAGCTAAGAATTAAGAGTCTTAAATATTTAAAGCAAAACTGACACAATTACAAGAAGAAATGGATAGTTTCATAATATTAGGAGATTTCAAGTAATGGTAGTCAAAGCACACTAAATATTAGTTAGAATACAGGTTTTTTATTAATTAATTTTTATTGGAGTATAGTTGATTTACAGTGTTGTGTTAGTTTCTGCTGAACAGCAAAGTGAATCTGTTATACATATACATTTATCCACTCTTTTTTAGATTCTATTCCCATTTAGATCGTTACAGAGTATTGAGTAGAATTCCCTGTGCTATAAAGTAGGTTCTTATTAGTTATCTATTTTATATATATAGTAGTGTGTATATGTCAATCCCAATCTCCCAATTTATCCCTCCCTGCCTTTTCCCCCTTGGTAACCATAAGTTTGTTTTCTACATCTGTGACTCTATTTCTGTTTTGTAAATAGGTTAAATGAATGTATTTTTATAGATTCCACAGGTAAGCAGTATCATATGATATTTGTCTCTCTCTGTCTAACTTACTTCACTCAGTATGACAATTTCTAGGTTCATCCATGTCACTGCAAATGGAATTATTTCATTCTTTTTATGGCTGAGTAATATTCCATCATATATATGTACCACATCTTCTTTATCCATTCCTGTCGATGGACATTTAGTTTGCTTCCATGTCCTGGCTATTGTAAATAATGCTACAATGAACATTGGGGTACATGTATCTTTTCAAATTATGGTTTTCTCTGGATATATGCCCAGGAGTGGGATTGTTGGATCATATGGTAGCTCTATTTTTAGGTTTTTGTGGAAACTCCATACTGTTCTCCATAGTGGCTGTACCAATTTACATTCCCACTAACAGTGCAGGAGGGTTCCCTTTCTCCACACCCTCTCCGGCATTTATTGTTTGTAGATATTTTGATGATGGCCATTCTGACTGACGTGAGGTGATACCTCATTGTAGTTTTGATTTACATTTCTTTAATAATTAGTGATGTTGAGTAGCTTTTCATGTGCCTGTTGTCCATCTATATGTCCTTTTTGGAGAAATGTCTATTTAGGTCTTCCGCGCATTTTTGGATTGGGTTGTTTGTTTTTTTGATATTGAGCTGCATGAGCTGTTTGTATATTTTGGAGATTAATCCCTTGTCAGTTGCTTGATTTGCAAATATTTTCTCCCATTCTGTGGGTTGTCTTTTCATTCTGTTTATGGTTTCCTTTGCTGTGCAAAAGCTTTTACTTTTTGTTAGGTCCCATTTGTTTGTTTTTGTTTTTATTTCCATTTCTCTAGGAGGTGGGTCAAAAAGGATCTTGCTGTGATTTATGTCAAAGAGTGTTCTTCCTTCGTTTTCCTCTAAGAGTTTTATAGTGTCCAGTCTTACATTTAGGTCTTTAATCCATTTTGAGTTTATTTTTGTGTATGGTGTTAGGGAGTGTTCTAATTTCATTCTTTTACATGGAGCTGTCTAGTTTTCCCAGCACCACTTATTGAAGAGACTGTCTTTCCTCCATTGTATATTCTTGCCTCCTTTGCCATAGAGTAGGTGACCACAGGTGCGTGGGATTACCTCTGGACTTAGAATATAGTTTTGAACAACAGACTTATGAAGCATGACCTGATAAATACATAAAGAACTCTGTACCCCCCAAAAGAATGAATACATAGAATAATAATTACATTGACAGTGCAGTGGATCACAAAGGAAGTATTATCACATTTCAAATAATTGGCAGTCAACCACATTCTATGACAATAGTCTAATGTAATTTGTACCAATTATTAAAGATCATAACAAATTAAATGTCCTGTTAAATAACTCATGTGTTAAATTACAGTGGGAATTATAGAGGGAAACAGGAAATAAAAGGGAATAAAAATGTTTAAAATGTTATATATATGTATTCACACATATATTTTTGAGTTACAGGTAATTATCTCAAAATCAATTCAATGTAGTTAAAAATATTTGGTTTATTTTATAGTATTATATGAGCTTTTTTAAGGGAAAGGATTAAAAATAAATAAGACATACATTTACCTCAAGAAGACAAGAAAAAGAAAATAGAAGCAAGTGAATTAAAAATAATACCAACTAGTTGTATTAATGATAGAATTTGGCAAGATGCATAAAAGAACATACAAAAATCAATACTGTTCTTATACATTATTGGCATAATGACCAAAATATCAAACTAATAACTAGTAGGACTAATGAGAAACTTTGGCAAAATAGTTGAATAAGTGACAAATAAAAATCAAGTGTTACGAAATATCAATAATTTCCCTAAAGAAAATATAATAGGAAAAAGTGATTCATTCAAAATAGTAACAAAATCCATGAGGTACTTAGGAGTATATCTGATAGTAAATATGCAATGTATTCATGGAGAATATTATAAATCATAATTGAAAGAACAAAAAATGAATAAGAAATATACTATTCTCATGGGTGGAAAGACTCAATATTTTTAAATGTCAGTTCTCAAATTAATGTACCCATTCAGTAAAATTCCATTAAAAATCAAGTTTTTTCATGAAACTTGGTAAGCTGATCCTACAATTCATATGGAACAGCAAGGGGCCAAGAGTTACAGAGTTTTAAAGAAAAATGTATAGGAACTTGCCTCACCTAATATCAAGATCTACTATAAATCTACAGAAATTTGGGCCATGTAGATCTACAAAAGGAAAAAGAGAAACAGAAATATATCCATAAATATATGACAATTGGCACGTTAGAGATACACATTACAAATTCCATATTCCCACCTACCCTTCGAGAACCTACAAACATTTCCGTTACAGTGAGTCCCTCTATCACCCTGTGCCTCCAGTTACGGGGAAACAATGGATTGCATGTAGAACGAACAACTGTATAAATTTCTGTCTTCTAAGAGTTTAGAACTGAGATCCAGGTATCTCTAAGCAGTTAACCTTTGGACATATATAATCAGGATGCAAGATTGCCATTGGAAAATTCTACTTCAGGGACCATGCATCTTGAGTAAGTTGAAAGAGAAAATCCACTAGCAAAAAACAGAAAAATAAAGTAGACTCAGAAAAGGGAAAAAAAGATGGGAAAACAGGAAAGTCGGGAGAGATTCCGTTTCTGATGGCTTTTCATGACCTGGCTTCTGTCCCTACTGATGCCTGTTTTCACATCTAGCCCTGGGGTAGTGGTCTTGTTTCCTTAAGATATGTTTTTTTCTGTGTGTTTTGTTTTGTTTTGCTTAAACTACTTTGAAAGGTTTTGGTTATGTCCAACCAAAGGGCTTTGAGTAATGCACATTGACTATTATCAAAATTCCCTTGTCCCTAACAATTAAAAATGATAATATGCAACTTTATAAAATATCATGAGCTCTACACCTTCAGTGATAGAACAGCTTTATAGGTACATAAAAGTGACCCCAGTGACATTTTTTAAATGAACAAAGAGTACATAGAGAAAGACCACTATTTAAAAACTGTTCTTCTACACCCTGTAAGTGTAGGGCTGGGTTGAAGTCACCAGAGGCACAACACTTTTAGGGCGACTATGCTAGCCTTTTGCCATTCATTCAGTATGAACATATTTTGTGGTCTTAAATTATGGTAGTAGTTCTTTGGATAAGGTTCCAGTGCACATATCCCTTAAGCAGAAGTGAAGGGAATGCTGATTCATCGTCATTCACAGTGTCAGCACAGCACACCTGTGTGAAGTGAGGCCAAAAGTAATGGTTATTGCAAAGGCCAAAACTAGATGGAGTGACACTGGTTCTGCCTTAAAATGTCCTTGTCTCTTATTGAAATCTTGGCTCATTTGTTTATATTTTAATTTATTTTTGCTACTGAAATACTATTAGCTTGTCTCATGATTGTTAAATGCCAGTAATATGTAGCTTAATTTCCAAAAATATTTGTTTCTCTTACAAATGATGAGCAGCATGTACACTCATAATACAGCTTCCAGAAACATAACGCCATTATAATTTTGAGTAACACACAGTGGCTTCCACAACTTTTGCTAAAGGTTCTTCCATGTTGTTCCACTTTGACTATCCTGGATGGTGGAAGTATCATGTCCTGTGCCCTCTGAATAGGCTATAAGCTATAGTATCAGGTTCCACAAAGTTACAGTTATCCAGTGTCAGTAATGTAAATGACTTCTTTCTAATGGATTTTGACCAGCACATTCTTTACAAAATGTCCCTACTTTTTAAAAAAATCATTGCCCTCTGCAATACTGAATCTGCAAAAATGTTGCTCTTCTTTACTTAGGCTGACCAGGGACTGGTACATCTGAGCTATATTCTACAACCCTAAGGACAAGAATTCTGCCGGTAGGTTATAGATGGCATTCATATTGGAAGTTTCCCCTTTTATTCTTGTGACACAGAGTGATATACACCTGCTGGCTAAAATATTTTCTTGGACTTTTAGGCTGACCTTAGCATTTTTCATCCAAATCATTTTACTTTTGAAAGTGAAAGGAGTGCTATTAATAATTACACTGGGACATCAGGCATAAATAAATACTATACCAGTCACATCAAGATGTATTCTCATTGTAGTTATTATGTCTGTAAAACGCCAGTTGTAATGAGGCATTTGGAGGGTTTTATTCTGATCTCCTTGATACCTAAAATTATTATGCAAAAAAGATGGCACATTTATGAAATATAAGAAGCAAAGTGCTTACAGGACCAAACATTCCTTTCTTTGTGCCACTTCTGTGCTTAGATCTTACCTCTATTGTTCAACTGGTCACAAGATATTGCAATTACTGGTCTCTAACTCCTTCGCTATACTCAAGCTAGGCAAGATTTGGGACTAGTGCAATGTTTGTGTCCTGGAAGGAAGTCAAAGTGTATTTTTTGAGGTCATTTGAATAAATTGAAAAGAACAGAATACTTTTAGGAGCTTTCTTTTTTTAGGAGCATTAATAAAGATAGGATTATCTGTGCAAGATATAGTGGTATACTCATATCTCATAGTATGTAATGTACTTATATATTAGTATAGCACCATGCAGCATGCTAACATATAACTGCAATTTGTAAGATAACTTAGTATATCTGAACTGAAGGAACAACATGGTACAGAGTTTAAGAGGCTCAGCTCTGGGGAAAGACTGGTGGAGTCTGAATCTAGACTAGCATGTGACCTTGGGAAAACCAGCCTTTGTGCATCTATCTGTAAAATGGGAAAGTAATAACACTTCTCTCATGAAGTCATAAAACATAAATGAGTTTTTCACATAAAGAGTTTAAAACAGTGCCCAATTATTGTAAACACTCAAAAGTTGGCAATTATGTTTTTATAACAATAATAATTATTACAACTACTATTATTATTATTAAAGGTTGAACCTCACATGCATAGATCAATAAAGATACAGATGTAGCTGTTATACTCAAAGATTCAGGCTGCAACTGGTTTCCTTACTTATTCACATAATGAAAAATCAACATGTTGCACTTAAATATTAATTTAAGCATGGGAGTAAGATCATGTAGGCCAAAGAATTTATATGGGAGAAGACAACTGACTTAAATTGAAGTCTATATGCCTGATCCCAAATATTAAAGACTATGAAATAAATATGAAGGACATTTATAATCTCTTATCTCATTTTCCTTTCCAACTTTCAAAGTGTAGAAATGTATTTAAAATATACCCACTCATATCTGTGAAGGTAGGAAATAAATTATCCTTTCTTTAACCTTTATTCTCTTTCTTAGGCAGGACTGAGAAGTGAGAAACACAGGGAAAGTTTATGTGCATAATAAAAAATGACAATTGAATTTTCCCAAAGATTTATGGGTTAACTGGGAAGAGACACTTAATGTGTAGTAACAAAATATCAATATCATTTGTAGAATGTATGTGTAAAAATGATTTACATGTGTGATATATTCATAAATACCCCACACTAAAAAATTTTATAAACTGTACATTAAAACCTACATAGAATTAATTATTAGAAGTAGGTTATGGGTTATTTAAGTGTTTACAAAGAGAATTTCTAACCTCGTATAGTGATTTTTAAACTTTCTCTCTGCTATTATGTTTTATAGAGTGTGTCTTTAGGAAATTTTAAATGTTTCCACTCAGAACCAACTCAACCGATGCATGATACTGATGAATTCTACAATAGACTAGACATGTATCTGGCTTTTCTTTAAGTCTTAAGAGACTAATTGCTAATGGTCTTAAGCTGTTATGTGGCATGCTACTACATCTCTAGGCCATATACTGCTTTCGTTTAGACTCTGCCCCCCAAACAGGCTATCTTTGTGTTATCATTTTAATTTCATATCTAAATATGATAGAATGAATCTCTTCAAAGAAAGGATAAACCGTTTATATATTACATTATATATATTCACTATGCATAGTATTAGTAGACTGTTTACTGCCATATTGTCATTTATCAGATCTTGGAATACATGTATGTATGTGTGTGCCTTTGTGTGTATGTGTGCATGTATATGTGTGTGTGTTTCAGTATATATAGGCTAATCAGGCAAATGTTTCCTTTTTAAAAATCCACTTACTATTTTTGCTAGTTGTTCTGTTTGCTTATCCTAAAAGTTGACATGCAGAACAGGTGTGAAATTCAGAGATCAGCCATTTTCAAAGGGCATGGCAGCAGTTGGGAAGATTGAGTTTCTTACACTTTATATCTTGTGATGTTTGTTGGTTTTTAATCTACTAAGCTTCTTTATCTGAAGACATGCCTTGTTCTCTTAATTTTCACATTAGCCAGCAAATTAAGTTATGCGTTATTATTCTTTTAATATATAATCTGTATAGTATTTCCCATGAAATAGAATGAAGGGAATGTTGCCTGTGCTAGGAAGAATTAATATATATAGAAAGCTAATTTAATTGTTAAGAAGAATGGAGAGGAAGGATTTTTTTCTTTCTTTCCCACATCCCAGATCCACTGCACCACTCTGTCTTGTAGCTACATTCTCTTTGCCTTTTTCTACATTGTCTTTGGTAGTTTATGAAAACATTCCAGCTTTGCTTTGATTAAGTTTATTCATTTTAAAATCAGACCTCAAAGTATCCTGTCCACGTTTCAGGGACAGCATAGGAAGGAGACATCACTGCAATTCAATTCTATCCACAAGTATTGACTGAGGATTCCTATAAACTAGACCTTGTGAGGTGATTGGAGGGAAGAAGCCACATTCCTGTCTTGAACAAGCAGATGGTCCAGTTAGTATAATCAGTCAAATACCTAGCACATGCAAGATGGTTAGTGTCATAAGAGACCTGAAAACGAAGAGATCCCACCAACAGAAATATTAGGAGACTTCAAAAGGATGGGGACTAAAACAGTACATAGAAAAATGTACAGAGTTGGGTAGGAAGAGAGGAGGAAAGATAACTGAAAGTGATTTCTAGACAGAGGGGCGTACACGAGCAGTCACAGAGGAATGGATGAGCATGGCATGTTCTAGGGACAGCGTGACTTGCTTGACTGACAGAGGACTTGAAGCAAAGAGCAGTGGGAATTAGGGCTGCGTGGTTCAGATGGGGTGATAAGAAGGACGATGCACTGATTCCAACCAAGACCAGTAACTTAATTAGGCATTGAAATATGCTGCAAAATCAGATCTTTGCATCGTCTCAGACAAATAAAAGTGATTTCTTGGTGATCCACTATTGATTTACCCATGATACTCTTTACTTTACTATTATGAATACAAAGAGCTGAATATATTAAGGAAAGACTTAGGGAATTTTTCCTTAAATTTTCACATACTACATTGCTTCATATTTGATGAATGAAGGTAGTATGTATGTATCTAACAAATACAGAAATGACACAAAATAAAAATGAACTTTTTAAAGAGTTGTTTGTTTAATAAGGTTTTAACACACTGTAATAATATTTCTTATAAAACATGTTCAAACTAAGCTGAAATTCTAGTGAAAATTTGATTAGCTATTTAAAGAGGTTTGGGTAAAATTATGGAAATGTATTAATGACTGAATCTATTTTTAAAAGATGAAAAGTAACTTATGTTGCCATGAGTTTTATTATGAATTATTTCTGAAAGTAGAAAAAAATTAAGTAGAAAAAAATTAAGCAAATTAATTTAATCCAATAAATAAAAGTAACTTTTTTAGTTGTTCTCTTTATGTAGGAGTACAACTGTGGAGATGCTGGAGGAGCGTGGCCTGTCATAGTCCTTTCATACCTTGTTTCAGAAGCAGAGTCAGTCCTATTCCTCAGTTCCATGGAACTGGCTAAGACAGGACTTAAATTAACAAACCACGATCTTTATTGCATCGTTCAATTTCTGTATTCACTCAGTGAAATTTTAAAAAGTCAGAGATCATGACATCAGAAATCAGTAGATGTACTGGCTCTGGGGATGACAGCTTTCCTACCTGCATCTTTACTAGTTTTCCTGCTAGTTTTTTGTTTTGCTTTGTTTGCTTTTTTGCAAAAATTTATATGTAAAAATTGAGACTAATAAAGAAGACAACAGGCCTAGTGAGATAAAATAATATTCATGACTGAAAAAAATTATTAAGAAAGTATCATGAATGCTATTTGGGAAAAATACTTATTTCCCCAAATTTGGCCTGGATATTTTTAAGTTTTCCATTTAACCAGAAGACTGGTTTAAGATGACAAAAGATGATCCTGTTTCTCTCACAAAATGGTGCAGAATATATATATATTCTTTGAAAAAATTCACTATCAAAATATTGGAACTCAGCAGGGAAGCACAATTGCATTAAGCCAATGTTCTTGAATGTTGAGAGGTGAATGTCATCTCATTGACCTATTTACTCTTACATTGAAAAATCTGTTGAGATATTGGTGGCTTATACAGATGTGATTTTTTGAGATAGTTGATTTTACTACCTACACTTGCTTGACTCATCAATTAATTTTTAGAACTTTGTTTCTAATAGTCAGAAGCCCAGCAAGATAAAAAGGTGATGGTTATTACATCACATTTCTTACCCACTATAGAAGCAGATGTACAATATACTTCTGTTTGTTTATTCTTATGCCACACCCTTTTGGCCCTTAACCAATACTTGAGGGGACACGATGAAGGCAGCTTTGCTTATAAAGTTGACCCTTGTCATGATGAATCACAGTCAAATCTTTATTAACCAGGGGCTGCCAGTTCCTCCTGAGATCCACTTTTCTTGTTCAACATAGTGATGTGACCAAAACAGGTTGCAAAAATCTACCTCTCCACCTGGCAATAGTTTCATAGCTCTTATGACTTTATTTCTAATTCTTCATAAGTAATGTTTGGAAAGTCAGTTAAATCACCAGTTATTTCTTCTTTGCCTGCAG